CACAGGGAGGGGAGCATCACACACTGGGGTCCGTTGCCGGGGGGTGTAGGGGAGGGACAGTGGGAGGGAGGGTGGGGAGGATTAACATGGGAGAAATGTCAGGTATAGGTGATGGGGGGATGGAGGCAGCAAACTATCTTGCCATGAATGTACCTATGCAACAATCTTGCATGATCTGTACATGTACCCCAGAATCTAAAGTACAGTAAAAAAAAGAGAGACAGAGAAAAAGAAAAAAAGAAGAAAATAGTTAAAATGGTAAATTTTATGTTAAATATATTTTACCACAATTTTTAACAATCAGTTGGCAATCACCAAAAGGACAAAAGTGAACAAACATTAAATTAGAACAAGCGCAAAGGTACAGAAATTTGAAACTGTACCACAAAAGAGTTCTTAGAAAAGTCATTTCCATGGCAAAGGAAAAAGAATAAGAAATGATCAAGTTGGAGAGAGACGCAAGGGCCAGCTCAAAAAGTGCCTTGTATATAATCAAAAGATCGAAAAATGCCTTGCACATAATTCAAAGAAGTTTAAACTTTATCTGACAATGTGCAAAAATCTGGTCAGAATATCAGAGCTTATAAATCTCTATTCTGATACTGGCATCCCTCAGGGTTCTGTCCCTGCCCTTCTTCTCAAAACATACAGTCCAACTGTGTGATCTCACCCTTTAGATTCAAGGGCAATCTATTTATGAATGTCAGTCAAATAGATATCTCTATCTCCTGGGGCCCTGTATATCAAATTTTCCATTTAACATTGTTTCAAAGCATCTCAAAATTAGCATGTTTAAAACTGAATCATCTTTCTTTCTCTTTCTACCTTCCCCCATTATTTCTCTAAGCCTCTTTCTCACCTATAATCTTCATCTCAATGAATGGCACATCATTAGACAAGTCACCTAACCCAGAAGCCTAGAAATCACAGGAGATACTGGATTCCCAGTACCTATTGCAATGGTAGTAGACTCTGAATAAATGGTGTTGGATGATTTGCAGAACAACAGAATGGAAGCTGCAAAATGGGATGCAGGTTAGTGCTGGAAACAGGAAGGAAGCCAATAAAATAGCCCAAGAGAAAGATAAGAAGTTTTTAACCTTGGAGAGTAGACGGAGAAATAAAGTGATAGTCAGAAATTTGACAAGATTGAGTTGATTCAAAAGAAAGTTAAGTATAACTCCCAGCTTCCTAGCCTGGACATTCACGTGAATCATTCTGCCATTAACTAGCAAAGCAAACTGGGTAATTATTATTGTATTGTACTTGTCTATGAGCATATATATTTCTCTTTTAACAAATGAGCTACTTAAGGTGGGGAATTTTATTCATTTTTGTATCTCCAACTTCTAGCAAATTATATAAGCTCTTTAAAAATGTCCAGTAGGCCAAGCACAGATTATGCCTGTAATCTCAGCACTTGGGGAGGCCAAGGCAGGCAGATCACCTGAGGCCAGGAGATCAAGACCAGCCTGGCCAGCCTGGCCAACATGGTGAAACCACATCTCTACTAAAAATACAAAAATTAGCTGGGAGTGGTGGCAGGTACCTGTAATCCCAGCTACTCAGGAGGTTGAGACAGGAGAACTCAGTAGGCAGAGGTTGCAGTGAGCTGAGATTGTGCCACCGCACTCCAGCCTGGGTGACAGAGACTCTGTCTCAAAAAAAAAAAAAAAAAAAAAAAATCCACTATATGAATGATTAGGTTTAACCTTTGTGGGTGGGAAGTATTTGATATTGTTAGCAGAGAAAAAAAAGACAAACCCATCAAGAAGAACATGATGGATTGAAGGAGGAAATAATTCAACTTTGGCAATATTAAATTTAAGTATTATCAGAACACTATCCTTTCATTCATTTACTTATTTACTTGCTCAGTCACTCATTATATGTTTATTGAATACCTATTAGAGCAGGGCATCCATGGTACATGGTCAGCAGAGAGTTGCAAATGCTTGACTAGAGATCCAGAATGCATCAGAGCTAGTGAGAGGCACCCCAATCCATATTGCTACATACATGTCAGACTCAAAAATACCACAAAAAGTAATAGGATTGATACAGGAGAAAAGAGGGCTGAGGCAAAAACACAGTGAGAAAACGACAGGTAGGGAGCAGAAAGTAAGTGAAATCATAAGCGAAGACTAAGGATGCTCAAAGTTAAGAAAACTCAGACACGTAGTGTCACAGAAGGCCAGTGAGGCTAAATGTTCAATGGCAAGATGGCATTAAATGCTGCAAGCCTGTAGCCCATGAATGAGTTCTAAATAAGGGACAGACAGGCAACTCAACTTAATTTAATTTAGTTTGATCTAATTAACAAGTATTTCAGACCCAAGGACTCATGGGATTATGAATATCTTTTCTAGGTTCTATTTTGATGATTGTAATAGAATACTTATGAAGGAAAAGATTCTTCTTATTAACCCAGTAACACCATCACAGAATTTTCCTTTTATTATAGAAAAAAGAACTTTTACTTGTTCTACATATAACCCTTTTCATATTTTCTGGTCTCTGAGGAACCCAAAACTAATGTTTTAAAAAATTATTCGAATCTGAATTCAAATTGCATTCTGCCATCCAAGTAAAAAAAAGGATCAATTTTGACCCCCTCCATCCAAGGTTCTGTTTTCACAGCAGTTGTGATGGAATATCCTGAGCAATTTATATTCTTCTAAATTTCCTTGCAACTAAAAGCACATGCTTACGAAATGAACTGCTATATATGAGGTCATACTATAAACAAAGCACTCCACTGAGCACTGTGAAGAATATAAAAGTATGTACTCTTCAATTTCAAGGAGCTTAAATCTAATTGAAAAGAAAAACCAGCTGTACCCAGGTAAAACAGCACAGAGGATAAGAGAGTAAACAAAGTGAAAAGCCATATGTTACGCAGGCAAAAAGTCCTTCTAGAGCTCCAAGAAAGGGAAGATTAATTTTGGTCAAAAGGAAGACTTCATAGTAAAAGATGGGATTTGAGTCATAGCAATAAGGAAAGGCATTCAGACTAGAGAATAGAATAAATCATCAGTAAGAATGGGCAAGCTATGTGGGAAAAATAGAGACAATCAGCCTAACTAAAACAATCTGGGTCGGAGAGAAACAGGAAATAAGACAGAACAGCTAAGGTTAAGCTATGTTAGAAACTTAGGCTACATGTTGGTAAACAGAACTCTATTTAGGTTCTTGAGCAGAAAGATAATGAAAAGAAGATCATTCCCAATAGTCTGATTAAAATTAATGTAAATAGGGGATTTCTGGATTCACAGAATAATTCTTCCTGTCCAAAATTAAAACACTCCATATGAAAATTAATCCTCTTTAATAAATAGACAAGAATTTTCCTAGTGTATCTAGTTCCTGCCTAAGTTACTATGACATGCTCAGTGAAACTCAAGTCTAACACATGCACCCATGGAGCTCTCCACCCAGCTGGAGAGAGAAGGGACTTCTGAAACATAAGCCTCATTAGCATAAGCTCCAAATGTTAAGAACTGTGCTAAGTTCTCTGTGGAACAACACTAATGAAGATAAATAAAATGAATTCCAACTTTCCCCTAGTTTTAGGTCTAGAAATTTCTGACTGCTGAAACTATATACACCTCATTTTTAGAAACACCTTACCTCACTTTTAAAAATACCAAAAACACCCACAGATAATGTCCTGAATTGGTACCATCAATGGCAAAGTCAAAATATATGCAAAAAAAAAAAAAAAAGCCACTAAACACAGGCTTATTTAAACAGTAATAGTAAACTTTCATGCAAAAAAAAAATGTATAGGCATATTGCTAATCCAAAATACTTAACATACTTGGATAAACTTAAAACAAAATTCTCATTCTACATCTCCTTTTCTACTCATTTCTTTTAGAATAATTGAAATATAAGTTGAATTTAGACAAGTTCATCTTTCATCAGGCAAAAAAGACCACATGAAAGTTTCTGAACAGGTTTCTATGTCCATCTCTTTTTTTTAGTGATGCTGCCCACATAATCTTAATCAGATACCTACTAAATGCTTGGAAACATCTTAAATTTTAAAATTGCCCATCTTAATCAGATACCTACTAAGTGCTTGGAAACATCTTAGATTTAAAAATTGCTTGAAAGCATACCCTAACTGTGCTAGAATTCTTGAATGACAATTAGAAAAACAGAAATCATAAAATCACTGAGCTTAAATCACCTCAGAGGCCCTTTAATCCAATACTCTAAGCTAATTCTGAACACTTATAATGACAGATAATTAGCTCTTTCATCAAATGTTTCAGTTAAACATCTAAAAAAATCATTGTGTAATGATCCAAAAGCTTTTCCCACATAACAGCATTTCAAATACTTGAATCCCATGATCATGTACACTGTAATCAGCCCTATATCCACACAAGCCAAGTCTTCTCTCAAATTTTACTTGCCTCCCTAAATGGAAAAGTTACCTCTCGCTGAACAACTGCCTCTCTTTTTTGTTTACAGAGGCAGCATGATGTAATGGGAAGACCCCTGGAAAGAAAGTTAGGAAATCCATGTTTGAGTTTTTTTTTTTTTTTTTTTTTTTTTAATTTCCTGAATGAACTCTCTGTGCTTTAGTTTCTTCTTATAAGACGAGGAAGATAATCCAGTGGGTCTCCTAAAGTATTTACCAATTTAATAATGTACTCTGTAATAAATAATTATACTTACATTGCAATTTAACCTCATTTACTGCAGGTACAGAATGTTGCCTGGGAAGCAGGAAAAGCAATATACAGGAGGAGGGGGAAAAATTTTTTTTAAACTACATGAGTTTAAAGAATGGATGGAATCAAGAAATGAAAAACACAAAATGGATGGAATCAAGAAATGAAAAATACAAAATAGAATCAAGAAATGAAAATTACAAAATATAAAAATAAAAAATACTATTCTGAAAAGCCAATTTAATGTACAAATGATTAATCTATGTCAAATGCAGATTAAAATGTCCAAAAGAGGGAGAAAATACTTTACCTTACCTTATGTTTAGTAGCTTCAATGCATTTAGCAGCACTCCCCTTTTTACATCATAGTCTATTTTCTGATCAGTTCCAAAGCTTGGGGCTCGGTTAATCTGAAATTTACAAAGAAAACAATATTGGAAGGTGAATAAATATTCAATACATATTTGTTAATTTAATGTGGGATCTCTAGCCAGTAGAACAACTCTACAATAAACTCAAAGCTTTACATGGAAGATGGCCCAGTTATTATTGCGACATCTCCATTCCACATCACCACAGGTCAACAGATTACAACGGATTGACTGTTGGCACCATCTCCTTCTTGCTGCTGCCTTAATTCAGGAGCTCTACCGTCAGTATAATCTAGCCTCTCCCTTCATTCCACTCTCTCCATTACTCCATGCATGGTTGGTTTAAGTTTAGGAAAGTTAAAAATGATTTATCCTAACAAAAAGGAAATAGTGATATTCATGTTACCAACACAGTAATAATTATATACACCTATATGTTTAAAACATGGAAACTATCAGTGCCCCCTTTTCACTGCTTCAGATCTTCAGGAATTCATTAAGATGAAAAAGAAAAGAGCTAGAGTTTTTGTTTTTGTCTTTGTTGAATTTTGTTACTGTCGTCCTTGTTATAAAAATATAACTGGGTTACCAGATGTTTAGGAAAATTTCTTAATCAATTAAAACAGTTGGTTAGAACACTGCTGAGTTCAACACAACAGCTTAGCTTCTTGACCATCAACTAATCCCTTAGGCTATCTCAAAAAAAAAATATATATATAAGTATGTATGCTACTAGTCACAGTTATACACATCCATCACCACAAGAGACGAAACAATTGAAAGCATGCATTCTACAACTGGCACCTGAAGAAATATTACATTATACTAAAAAATTACCCAGGCAAACAACATCTTTAATTAGAAATGTGTAACAGGTTCACAGCAGAAAAATTAGTATAAAGAAGAAAAACAAATAACAAAAGATTATCTGTAATCCCACTACTTAATACTCAGTGTCTTGTTAACCACTTGGTAGATATTATTCCAGATATTTTCTATGCATACATATTTAAAATATTCATTTCACCTTCCAAATACATGTCAATACTAACCATACTTTAGTTTATAATCCAAGCTTTTCTCTTAATGATGTGTCATGAAAATCTTTCATCATGCCATCATTTTGATAAAAGTATGGTACTCCTTTACAGAGATAGGCCATGTTGTATTTTGATTCCTTTGTTGATTTCTGATTCAGAAAGTGGTAGATAAAATTCCTGTCTTTGTGATGTAGTCTCAAGGAAAAGGAAATAGTTTGAAAACTGCAATAACATCCATTTATTCTAGGTCAATTTGAGAAAGGGTATTTATCTATTATGAAAGCTCTAAGCATTTCCCTTTACAAGTGCAGAGAAAGGGTAAAGCATATATTTTATAGAAAAAAAAGTGTCAGCCATACTGATTCAAATCTCTGGAGTTTATAATACAATTAATGACAATGTTGCCACTATATGTGACATGGTTATAAAATAAACCAGACATTGAAGAACTGATGAGTAAGTGGTACACTGAAATGTTATCTCTCTTTGTAGAATTCCTCAGAGTTTCCCTTCCAAATTTCTTGTGCCAGGCATATCCCTCCTCCAGGATGGTACTGAGGTCTTGGTATAAAGCCATCTCAGATCTCTCTCTCTCTCCTTACCTATTTCAAATTCTTCCCTGTACTATAATGTAAGAGAAACTGGTCTGTGAAAGGTATACCCACACAAGATAAACTATTAATAATATGTGGAAAGGCAGGAAAACTTTTTCAATTTAAGTTTTTATTCAGGGATGTTCTTGGTTTTTTTTTTTTAAGTTTTATGAGAAAGGTAAAGAAAAATATAAAAGAAGAACTACAAATGGCTGACAGAAGAAACTAAAAATTAGTGTTCCACACAGTCAAAATTCTCCTCTCTAATGTGATGATTTATTTGGTTCTCATTTTCTATCCCAATTCTAAAACAGACGAAACACAGTTGATGCTAATGTCTCAAAATTCAACAGCTTGTAAATGCATTAAAAATGAAAATTATTATAAAATATATTAAATTAGTTAACACTATTATCAATTGTCCTAAAAATAGTTTTATCAAAACAATCACTTTGTCCACAAATTAAAGCACCCATACTTCTGTGCTCCTAAATTAGTGCTGATCCCTCTGCTCCAGAGCCTTTCCCCACCCCTGCTCTATCGCTCTCAGCCCCGAGCCATTATCCCACCCTTCTGCAGCCCTACAAACTTTGTTCAGATGTGTCTTCTGCAAAGATTTTTTTTTAACTCTCCAATACACACAGGTACACAAAGAGATTAATCATGCTATTGTTTGTGCCATTTCCCTTTTACCTACTAGTTCTTATAACTATTACCATAAAATGCACATCTGAAGAACAGCTACACCGGGGCAAGTATTCTGTCTTCTATCCCCACCACCTTACACAATGACTTAGTAGGTTCTTGTTTAATTTAAGGGTACTTAAACTATTGGTGGTATATTCATACTCCATGCAATTTCAGTGTTTTTCCTAAAATATGTTTTCTCCGTATGAAAATTTGTGCAATTCTGCCACTAGCAATCAGTCCCTGAAATTATTCTGGTTAACTAAAATCACATACTCAGAAGCACCTTCTACCTTATTCCACTTGATGGCGCCAAAAGATTTTTAACAATGTCTGTTAGCCTCACTAAAATTTCAGCAGGGAGTAAAATACAAGACAAGATTGAAGTAAGACTCAGTAAGACTCTTTCAACTGTTTTAATATAACAAATGTTCATTATCCACAGCTCTTGGTTATTGTGTAGTGTTTTAATGGTTCTGATTGATCTAGAAACAATGAAAGTAAAGAATGAAGAAACATTCACGCAAACAAGGGTTATTTTGAATATTTTAAAACAAGATCCAGAATTCAATCATTCAGTCCATTCTAATTTAGCAAGCTAATAGAAAGTTCCAAGAAGCAAATGTGTTTTGTTTTGTTTTGTTTAAAAAAATAAATAAATAACCACTGGTGTCTACAGCCCTACCCCACTGAATGCTCCTGATCTTGTGAAGCTAAGCAGGGTCAGGCCTGGATGGGACTTGGATGAGAGATCACCAGGAAAAACCGGGTGCTGTAGGATTTTAGGGCTGGGCGCCGTGGCTCATGCCTATAATCCCAGCAGTTTGGGAGGCCAAGGCAGGCAGATCACCTGAAGTCAGGAGTTCTAAACCAGCCTGGCCAATATGGTGAAACCCCATCTCTATGAAAAATAGAAAAATTAGCCAGGCATGGTGGTGCACCCCTGTAATTCCAGCTACTCAGGGGGCTGAGGCAAGAGAAACATTTGAACCCAGGAGGCGGAGGTTGCAGTGAGCCAAGATTGCATCACTGCACTCCAGCCTGGGTGACAGAGTGAGACTCCGTCTCAAAAAAAAAAAAAAAAAGGTAACTAAGATATCTATAAAGTCATTATTTCCTGCTATCCTCCTTTATGCATGTGCCTTCACTTTTTCCCTACTGCATCAATGACAAAAGACAAGTAACAGGGGCAGAAGAAAATATAGCTAAGGACAGGAAAGGACTGCTGCAGAAAAAGTAAGAAACCTAAAGAATAAAATTTCAGGCCTTAGCAAGATGACAGGTCCATAGTGCATAGTCAAATGCTTTCATATCCAAGGAAAGGAGGAAGCAAACCAGACCCAGGCTGGAGCAAAATCTGAACATCCAACAGAGAGAACTTTATTTCCTTGGAGACACAATACATGTTATTGCTTAAAGTAGATGTGACCACATACAGGCACGCGCACACACACACACACACACAAACACACGCACAAACACACACACAATCTTTGGCCCTCATATTAGAAAAGTGTCATTTCGTTGAAATGTATTTTTAGTATCTTCATCTCATTTATCACTCGTTCAATCTGCTTATGCAAACCCTGATATTATACATGAAACTTCTAAATCACTAACAAAAAGAGAGAAAAGTGATTTAAAATGAAAGATAGTGATTGATTACATCTTCTATAGCAACATGTTCCTGATGGATTTTCCAAAACATGGTATTTCAGCGGCTACAAGAAGGTGCATAACCCCAGATCAAGGAGCTTAAAGGGAACTACTGGATGAGGTCTTCTGGATCAAGTGACTTCTAAGGTTTCTTCTGGGTAATGTAAATAGAAATATAACTAGCAGGAAAATATATTAAAATTGTCAACAGAGATAATTTTTCCTTTCTCCTTTTTACTATTCCATGTGTTATATGACCTTTTATCATCAAAGAAAAATAGTAACTCTCACCCTACCAAGGACTGGCAGCAAACCTGAAGACATACAGTTGACAGTCTCTCTGAGGGGAGCCCCAAGTATATACCATGGCCTTAAAGGAGAAATTTACCACCCAGGGTATTGGATACTGAATACTGATTAATGAAGCAACTGGAGTCTCTTGGAGAGTTTGAAGGAGAGATACACTGAAGGCAAGATCCTGAAGCCTGGGCACCCACAGAGAGGAGAGACACTACCCAGAACTCATGACCTGGTAGAAGCCAGGAGTCTGAGAAATAGTACAGCAAGTAAGCAAGTAAGCAACAAATCAGTAAAAGGACCTCCACATTTGAATCCCAAATATCTGTCCTAGAAATTCACTTGATACTAATTTAAGAAAATTAGTAATATCAAACACTTTGATTAATTCTTGGAACTGTTCTATTCCCTGAATTTTTATCCTCTTTTTTCCAGTTATTCCATTCAGGCTTCATGCTGGTCAGTTGATGGGACAATTGTGTTAAGTACACATCTTTAAAACATTTATTTCAATACATAAGGACAATAACTTCTCTTTTTTTCTTAAAGAATGCCTTACCTCCAGAAGCCATGGCTTTAGTTTTCTATCCAACAAAATATCAAATCCCAGGACTTCAAAGCAGACACTTTCACTTCCTGGAGGTTGACCAGGTCTGCACATTCGATATGCATGCAGGACATGAGGTTCTGCTACAATCAGGGTCTTTACCACCAATTCCTATAAGATTGTGATAAAAGAGGTGAAAATGCCTTTGTGTCTCATTTCACATGTGTGAATATAACCAGGGCCTACAAACTGGCAGCCTGGCCAAGTTTACAAAGCTCTGTGGCATCTAGCCCCTGCTACTGCTCTGACTTCATTCTTCACTCTTACCCTCATGCTTGCTTTGGAATCCTCAAGTAAGACACTTTTTCCTACCTTACATCCTTTGCATTCACGGTTCCCTCTTGTGGAACACTCTTTCCCCTGTATTCCCAAGTCTGGCTCTTAGACATTCAGAGAGGCCTTCCCAACCCCCAAGTTAAAAGCAGCCACCCTTCATTCCTTAGCATCACTACACACAACATATAACCAGTTGATATTTTCTTTCTACATTAGAGAAGTCTCCTTGTCTGACACCATTCCCAGTGCCTACAATAATAGCTAGCATTTAGTAGGTAACTAAAAACATTTGCAAACAAGTAAAATAAAGGTGGTAAATGCGGTTTCTATAAGTCAAAACAAGTAAGGGAGGAGCATACGCTAGCCCCATCCAGAAGAGATGAGGGTGATAGGGAGGAAACATTCCAAGGAGAGTAAATTATTTCACAAACACCAGTATAGAAACTCCCCTTAGATAAAGGCTGAAAGGGCTGGGAAGACAAAATCTATGAGAGCTGAGTTTCTTTATTCAGTGATGATATTGTAGTGTTTAAGTTTTACCTGAGAAGAGTGTTGCCAATTAAAAGATTGGCTCTCAATATTTTCTGAGAAAAAATACATAATACTACTGGGGTGAGTTATTAATCCTAATTTTTTTAAAGTTATTTTACTGAAGTTTCAGAACAAGCTATAAAAGAAAAGCTGTCTCATCCATTTTTGCTCAGAAGATATTGTCATTTTAACTCCCTCTCTATAGGTATAGGCAATAGAAAAAGACAGTTAAGAGCCTGGCTCTAACGTAAGATTTCCTGTGTTTATTCCTGGCTTTGTAACTTGTTAGCTGTGCAACCTCAGTCATGTTGCTTAAACTTTGTGAGTCTCATTTTTTCCTCAGTTTAAATATAAACTGCAAAAAGTTAACGTAAGAACAAAATGAGATTCCATGTAAAACTCTTAGCATAGTGCCCAGAGTCCTATTATAGTTACTGTTATTCTATTATTCCTCTAGAATTCCACTCATATGTCAGGTTAGTCTCAAATATTCTACTACCTGTTGGAACAATATTTGTTAAATGAGTGATAAAAGGGAAGACAGATGTTAACCTCACTGTTACCAGAATCACAAACCAGTTCATATTTGGGAATAAGTATCAGAAGTGCCATGAGAGGCTGTTTTCAAAAAATTTTGTTCAAGGTAACAAATCCATGACGGCACCATAGCATATAAAATAAAAGACAAAAAGCCACTTTATGTAAATATTTGCCAACATTACTGAAACCACTTGAGAGGAGGAAAAAGTTAAAACTTTGATAAGCATCTGTGTGAAACAGTACAGGCTGAGGGAGGGGGTGGAGACTGATTATTAATCAGACCCTGAATTACAAATCTGTTTTTGCTACATAGAAAATAACGTGCTTTTAGATTATAAAGGCAAGATTTCCAGTAGATGTGACAATAAGGAATGATATAAACAAATACAAATAAAATTCCACTACAGTTTTTGAGAGTTTTCAACATAATATCACTGCTTTGAAATGTGATTTGTAGATTTACACCTTAGGTATACAAAAAGCAGTAAGGATAGTTTTTTTAACGATTATACTCATTTTTAAACTCCATGGCTTGATTTTCTACTGATTTGTTATTGACCAGAACAAAAGTACATGGTTCTGTTCTTCACAAAGGGTACTAATGAATTCTGCTTTTTACATATTGATAGTTACTTTTTGAGAAACTGCCCCCCAAAATGAGGTCATTAAAAATAAGTTATAAGTTAAATTCAGGGAATTTCTAAACTAAGACATCAAAATAAAAATTTACTGCATAATTGCCTTCGTCACCTCCTCCTGCCATTCTCTTTTTATACTATCCCACTGATTCATCTTAAAGAGGTAGCTATATAAAATATACCAATTCTTAATAAAGACAGCCAATTTTCAAATAATTACATAAATGGAGACAGTTGTTTGACAAAATAATTATAATAAAAGTACTTGAAATGCTAGGTTTATTAATTAACTGATTATTTATAGATGATTAATATACATTCTAACATAGCCAAGAATGAGGCAAAATTTGCCCACTTATAGACAAGACCATGAACTGTGTCAGAGCTTAATAGGCCCACATTGGCTATGTTTGGGTCATATCTAAAAACTATACTTAAGGTCCTAACAGAAAGTTAATTTCCATAACCTCTCAGTAGTATTAGTCTTGCTTGTATACATTCTCTTAATTCAATTGTGTGGGGAAAACAGCACTTAAAACCAGTATATGTAAAGCTAATGACCCTCATTATTCTCTCTGGTTCACTCCATACCTGCCTCACCAAAGAAGCCCAACAGGTTCTACCTTTTCACAAAGATGTCCTCAAAAAGCCAAATCCATATGACAGTTAAAAATGTGTACAGAAAAAAAAAAAAAGAATGCCAGAGAATATATAAAACTTTCTTGGTCCCACTGAGCAATAGGCCAATTCATTGAATTATCATCAGACAGAAGATTGTATGATCTTCCATCAATGAACTACGGTCCAAAATTACTGAATTTCACCATTTTGATGCTTCTGATCCACTATGATAGTAAACTGTCATTAGAATAGTTTTTGGAATTTCCACAAAATTGGCCTTGAGAAAATAATTACATCAATAAACAAATGCAGCATTATTGTGATCCAATTTCTCATTTACATGCATTTCATCTCTCAGGAAGCTATAATCAAAAGTTAACAAATTGTTGGTTATCTGACCAAATTCAGATGACAAACACTTTTGTTTGAGTCCCAACATTTTTAAAATTCTTGAGTCCACTGCCAACATTTAAAATCATTTATGTCATTTATATCATTTACACATAATTAACCAACAAGTTAGAAGAATGTGCCCCACCGGGCTTAAAATATCATTGGCACCAACAGGCTGGTGCTGAGTGGTGGCTACCTCCTTCAGACCTCTCCTGATTTTCAAATTATCAGAGTTCCAGAACAACCTAGTTTCTTCTCTCCAGACCACTTCACTCCTTCTTACTTGCCTGACACCTAAGGACCTTTGGATATACGGCCTGTGATATAGAAAGTAAGGTAAAAATGTCAACAAACAAAATAATCAACAAAAGGATAAACAGAGTCATGTGCCATAAAAGAGCATTTTGGTTAACAGTGAATAGCATATTCAACAGTGGTCATATAAGATTATAATACTGTATTTTTACTGTACCTGATCTATGTTTAGATATACAGTCTTTACCATTGTCTTACAATCACCTACACTATTCAGTACAGCAATAATTTTTGTTTTTGTTTTTGTTTTTGAGGCCGAGTCTTGCTCTGTCACCCAGGCTGGAGTGCAGTGGTGCGATCTCAGCTCACCACAACATCTGCCTCCTGGGTTCAAGCAATTCTCCTGCCTCAGCCTCCCGAATAGCTGGGATTACAGGAGCATGCCACCACATTCTGCTAATTTTTTTATATTTTTGGTAGAGATGTGGTTTCACCATGTTGGCCAGGCTGGCCTCAAATTCCTGACCTCAAATGATCCACTCATCTCAGCCTCCCAAAGTGCTGGGATTACAGGAGTGAGCCACTGCGCCCAGCCTAGCACAGTAATATTTTGTACGTTTTTAGACTAGGAGCCACAGGCTATACCGTGTACAGGCTATACCATAGTCTAGGTGTGTAGTGGGCTACTCCTATTTTAGATTTGTGTAAATACAATCTGTGATGTCTGCACAATGACAAAATCACCCAAGGATGCATTTCTCAGAATGCATCCCTGTTGTTAAGCAGTGTGTCTCTGTAGAATGATCTGATTTTTCTCTCTAGTCATCTCAATTAGAGAAAACCAAGTTCAATCAACGCTTAATGAACTTTCATGGCCTGATGGTGCTTCAGATTACTGCTGAGGAAAGACAGTTATAATTGTGGAATGGCATAATCTTACTGAAATATCACTCCAAAACTTAGCAACATCATGTTGATTTGCTTGCAGGAATTCTGTAAACCATTTGATGGAACGTTTGCTGCCTTTGTTCTCAGTCTCATCCCGTTCAAAATGCTCATTATGCTTGTTCACGGAGTAGTTTGTCAGATGCATGTATAACTGGGTCTGTAACAAGTAAGAACAAAAGTTGTTACCACCTATGGCATCCTAGAACTGTGAGGTTTCAGAGGAAAAAAACACACTCAAAGACTAAAGAAAGTCTTAAAGTTTAAACTATAGAGATAACAATTTCATGATTATTTAGATAATATCCCAATTAAATGGAATGGCACATTTCTCTTAAAAGGATTTAGAATGTAACCATCTACAGGATTACTTTACAATACTATTCAAAATATATTTACCATTAAAAAGTATCAAATTAACAAAACTATCGAGAGTAATTAAAATCTGAAGCTACATATTGCTAAGCAAGATAAATGATCTCAGTTTGTTCTTGTTAATTTGTCTGTTTTCAATGTTTTCAGCTCTCATAGTTTTCAGCCAAATCTGTTTTGGGAAAGGAATTTTCTGAGAGAACATTCTATGTCCTTTCAAAGAAAAATAAAAATAAAAATGCAAATAACATAAGTCAAGAGGCAGGAGCACCAAACACAACCTCGGCACACCCATACTGACTGGGAGGTTCCTTTAGTTCAGTATCAGACAGAGTGCACTTGGAGTGAGCAGACAGAATGTACCACATAATACTGTGCAGGTGTCCAGTATGGTATTGTGCTCCATATTGGAACTCTACATTTTCGTCTCTTTATAATCTTACATTTGTTGATACTATTTTCCTTAAGTAAACCTGAAAAAAATCCAAAGTTTAAAACTCCTCATAATTGTCAATTAATATGCATCTAATGTCTTTTTATTAAGCTAGCAGAAGCATTCATAAAATCTATCTTTAATTCCTACCCTCGTCATGATCCTAAAGATTACTTTAGATAGCAATGTTGTATCACAATTAAAATATACTTCATTCACATAATTATTATTTTGAGTTGTTAATAACCAACATAATTCATGTCATATTTGATTTTCACTGCAGTTCCTTAAGTTTATGGTATTGAAATCTTTAAAACAAGAAGGCAGAAATGATCATTTGAGGTACGTGTTGTTTATTAATCCATGTGCCTACTACTAATTAAAAATTTATTTTTTTATTCATTAAACAATGTTTAAGGAACACCTACTATCTACAGCAATGTCTGCTGGGCACTGTGCATACAAAAACAACAAAATAAATAACAGTCTCTATCCTTACAAAACAGGAAAAGCTTTAAATTAAATGATACTTAAAAGAAACAGGATAGATCTTATGCTTGCCTAATTCTAAATGCTTAAAGAAATATAAAATTAATCAAGCTTAGCATTTCCTAGTTTCCAAAACATAAATTTTCTTTAACTTTTAAAGAAGAAGTTTGGAAAATAATTTTGTAAGAAAGTCTTTATTTGGCAAGAATTTATTAAAATTAATAATACTAATAACACTAGCTAATCTAATGAAAAATTAAGTAAGTGAACTTTGCATTTTTCTTTAATAGTATATTTGTAAATGGATTGGAAATTCCACAACTTCACATTTACCTTGACAAAAATAGACATCTAAGCAGTTCACTGCCAGTTAGTCATTTGCAAGAAACAGAAGCAAAAGCAGCTATGAACCATATAGCAATCTGCAAGGAGTGAAAATAATATAACCATAGCCCATCCTGTTTTTCAGCATGTAGGCTTGATATAATAAATTGGTGTACACAAAATTTTTCAAGGAATGGCCAACCACTATACCAGTAGCAAAAAAATGAACGTTTATTATATTTCAATGTTTGAAATTCTGTCTTATAATCTCCTTATATGTAGTTTATGAACATTTAATTCTTATAGAAATAATACAGCTCAATATAAAATAAATGCTCACTATTTTAAAAATTTGAAATAAGAAGAAGGAAAAAATCTGAGCAAACTGCCATCCAGAAATAACAAATGAGCACTTTGGTTTAATTTCTCTAGTCTTTTTTTCTAAACTTATTTTTAACATAACTGGTCTCACTTTACACACACTGTGACCATACTGTATCAATGTTATCTGTGTTATCTGAAATATATCTCAAATCTATGCTCTTATTCTTGGTCCAGACCCACTGCTACTATTTCAGTTCAAGTCCTTTTTCCTTCCATATGTGGTCAGACTAGAATACCACTTCACATATTATTCAAAATATATGTAACTTCTTGTCTCTCTTACTCTAATCATTCCCATCCATCTCCACCCCCCTCTCACATTCCAGACCAGGGGGCCATTCCTTCTTTCATTTGTGTAAAACCTTTCAATCCTTCCATCCTAAGTCAAATTCTAAAATCCTAGAAAAGGACTACAAAGCCTTACCTTAGAAGACCTAGCTTCTAGGACTCACCATCCTCATCCCTGAACAGGCAGGCCCTCCTTCTTAGTCTATACTTCAGCCATACTGATTTTGTTTGCTTTCTCCACACATGCCATACTCTGTCTTACCTCTGAGCCACTCTTTTGCCTGGTGCTCCATCCAACACCACCCTATGCCTGAACATGGATAACTCTTCATTATTCAGATTTCAATTTATAAAACATTCCCTCTCTAAAATTTATCTCCAACAGCTATGTGCCCCTGCTACGCACTGCCATTGTGCTCTCAGTTTCTTAGGCCATCACACTTACCACCAGATATTATAATTGCTTATTTTATTTTCTGCCTCCCCATTAGACTGTTGCTTCTGTGAGGTCAAGCACTGTATCTGTCTGGTCATTTTTTCCAAAACCAGCACAATGCCCAGAATGTAGTAGAGTTCAAGCATTACTTGGTGATTGGCTATATCCAAACCTTATAACCTTTAATAATATTACTTTCTTTTTTTTTTCTTTATTATTATTATTATTATTATTATACTTTAAGTTCTGGGGTACATGTGCAGAACATGCAGGTTTGTTACATAGGTAATGTTTCTTTCTATTAACTTCTTTTCCTATGAAAATTTGACAGTTTCCTTATTCTTCCTTGGCCAGGTTTACAACATTTTTCAATTTATTGAACATAGTGTAAGGCTGGTTGCCTCGCTGGGAGTTTGGACACGCCCACCTCCCTCCCGCTTGAAAATTGCATTATCAGAATATGCCCATCACCTAACCCCACCCTTGGAAATCCCCTCTGCACTCGGCACCTAATCCCACCCTTGGAAATCCCCTCTGCACTCGGCACCTAACCCCACCCTTGGACATCCCCTCTGCACTCCGCACTTAGCCCGCTCACCAGAAATCCCACCTACCTACCAATAGCAGCTCACCCCATCCACATCCTATTTCTCCAAATCCAATCAAACGCCTTCACTCCCTATAAAACCCCACTCCTGAGAGAAGTTGAGCACGACTTCCCTGGCCCCTCTCCCCGGGACCACAGAACCTTGCCCGGGAGCTGAATAAATTGGCATCTAATTTTCTTGTGCTGGCCTCAGTTTCCTCGTTTTTAACTCGGCAATAAACCTACAGAGAATAAACTTTACACATAGTACCATTTATGATCGGCCATTATTTAATGTTGAAAAATGACCACACTTCGATGGAGCTAGTTGTATACATAACATTAGGGGAGAACAACAACCAGGTCTTTGACAAATTGGGAAGCAACAATTAATTGTAATTTTATCTATAGTTAGTTACATCCAAAAATAAGTTTAGAGGTTAACTAAAGTTTAAGTATACATATAAGTTATAATTTAACTTTCTTAAACTACAAATTACAGTTATGGTTTTCATGATAAATTATAGCTATCACTTTCATAAATATGTTGTGGCTACACACAAAAAAACTTAATGGACAAATATCTACAAAGAGCTCCATTTAATAGGCTTTAAAATGTACACTGAAACTGCTAATTCATCTCAACTTCACATTTGGTCAATGTAAATTGACAGCCTTACTTCTCTTTCATTGCAACATAAATTAATAACTGCTTTCTGATAACTTGCTTTTTACTTTCTCCCACATTCAGTCTGTTCACACCCTACATGTTATACAAAGCCTGCTCAAATGCCACCTCCTCCATGAGAAGCTGAACACAAACTGACCCAACACAGCTCCAAAACACTTTATCTGTACTTCTCCATTGCATATTAGTATTATTTATAATATAGTCATTTCTATACAGGGCTACTCCACACAGATGTGTGCTTTGAAATCCAGCCTTGTGCTCACAGCATCCAGAGAGGGTACTTTTTTTCCAATTAGCCTCCAATTAGCAGATACCTTTATTTTTTAATTTTCACAAAGCTGTCTGTAAGTTAAAAGCAATCTTATTTATGCACACAATTCAATACCACAAAAACCTGAGAGAAGGAAATTTCATTTATACAATCTGTATGCCTAATGGATGCTTTAAAAATTATATATTGAACAAATGAATGAAAACATAAGTTCTGTATGGCATCACTTACCAAATTGGACTCATTAGGTGGAATGTACTTCTCTGTACCCATTCGCACAAGTCCATCATGGTAGAGAAATATTTTTAGTGGATCACATGATGTAACCAGAATATAAATTCGTAAGTCAAACTTGTAACCTTCCATTAAGAAAGGCTTTTCAATGTACTCTTGAACAATCAAATGATCCTGAGATGGAAGTTTGTCACCGTTTCTTATCAAAGAAATCCTGTGTTTAAAGAAAAAAATTAAAAGAATGATCTCATATAGAGCAAGATGTTTAAAAAATTATAGATATGCTCAAGAGGAAAATAGTGGAGTAAAGGACTCCAAAATCTGTCCCTCCACAAAAGCAATGAAGAGCAAAAGAAATAATCAACTTTTCATAACCCCAGAAACTAAGCAAAGGCTTGCAGCAAACAGAATACTTAGCTAAGAAAAAAACAGCTGGATCTGTGTCAAAGAGCTTTGTAACATTTTAACTTAATCTAGTCCCATCATCCACTCCCAGCTCAGCAGCGGCCTTGAACAGCCTCATTTTTAATACCATTACAGATCCTGGAGTGGGTAGAATGGACTATTCTTATAGTTGGCTGCTTTGACCTGTCTGGTGGCTTCCTGGAGGACCTCAAAGGGCTTGCTTTTATCTTGCCTAACTTGGAACTTTACCAGTGCTGAGGTAGCTACTTTCAGAAACAATTGTTGGAAACATTTAAAGGCAAATGTATTAGTCACTATTGTCTAGGCTGTCTAGGGCAACAGTTGGGCAGACAATAGACTAACTAAAAAGACTGGGAGGAAGGGCTGAGGAATGAAAATCTTTGAACTCTGAAAAGCTCTGACATATTCCTGAGAATCTAGACAACCAGTTGCATGCCCAAGGTTAGAAGCATGCTCAAGAAAGACCTGAGAAGGCCCTAAGCTGTCTCCTCTGGCTAACCATCAGACTCCGCACAAGCAGGAAGTTAAGGCTAAGGTAGCGCTGTAAATTATTTGTTTGCCTGTTGAAGGCATGTCCCAGCAATCACACACTCAGTCATCTACAAAGATTTAGAGTTTTTTTGTTGTTTGTTTTGTTCTGTTTAAAGAAATATCTGTCCAATTGTTAGCTGACCACTGAACTAACAGAACAGGAACTTCAGTGGCCATGCCCAGCAAAAAATACAGACTTTTAAAAAATCACTTTAGAAAGGTCACTAAACCAAGTAAACAACTACTACAATGAGATGCAACAAAAAATTGTATAGAGGAGGAAAGTCTGATTTCTAGAATTGCTATAATACTCAAAATGTTGTTTTCAACAAAATATTATGAGGCATGCAAAGAAAATGAAAGTATGGCCCATATACAGGGAAACTATCAATTAATAGAAACTGTTGCTGAGAAAGCCCAGACATTGGCTTTCCATTAGCTCTTTCAACAAATTTTAAATAGTTGATTATCCTTAGTAAGCCCAACATCATTTCAGTACAAAGAACTGAAAGAAACTATGAGAACAGTGTCTCACTAAATAGGGAATATCAGTAGTGACACAAATTTAGGGAAAAATAAAGGAAGCAAACAAATTTGGAGTTGAGAAGTATAATAACCGAGCTAAAAAAAAGTCACCAAAGGAGATAAATAATATACTTGACAAGGCATAAAAAGAATCAGAAAACTTGAGGATAAGCCAATTGACATCATCTAGTCTGAGGAACAGAAAGAAAAAAGAAGAAAAATGAACAGAGCCTACAAAAGCTGTGAAACACCATCAAGTACAGCAACACACATAATAGGAGTCTCAGAAAGAGAGAAGACCAGAGAAAAGAAAACCAAAAGAATATTTGAAGGAATACTGGCAGAAAACATCCCAATTTGGTAAAAACATTAATCAATACATCCAAGAAGCTCAATTACCTCCAAGTAGGATAAACTCAAAGAGATCAATATCAAGACACATTATAATCAAACTGTCAAAGGACACCAGAAAGGTTACTACCCCGGTAAATATAAAAGTCTCAGCCAGGTGCAGTGGCTCACACCTGTAATCCCAGCACTTTGGGAGGCCAGGGTGGGTGGAACACCAGAGGTCAGGAATTCGAGACCAGCCTGGACAACGTAGTGAAACCCCATCTCTACTCTACAAAAATTAGCCAGGCATGGTGGCATATGCCTGTAATCCCAGCTATTAGAGAGGCTGAGGCAGGAGAACCACTTGAATCCGGAAGGCGGAGGCTGCAGTCAGCCAAGATGGCACCACTGCACTCCAGCCTGGGCAACAGAGTGAAACGCCATCTCAAAAAAAAAAAAGGCTCTTTTTGTGTAGTTTTGATTTTTAACTCCTCATTTTTCCTACTGATTTTAAAGCTAACTGCATAAAACAATAGTTTTAAATCTATGCTGATGGTCACAGAAGGTGTAGAGATATAATTTACGACAATAACAACATAAAGGGAGTAAATCTATGTAGAAACAGTTTTTATACACTATTGAAACTAAGTTGGTATTAATATAAACTGGATTGTTATAAATTAAGATAATAATGGTAATTCCAGTGCAGTCTTTTTTTTTTTAAACTCAACAATATATAGTAAAAGAAATGACAAGGAAATTTAAACAGTACAGAAGAAAGTACCTATTTAACATAAAAGAGGACAGTATAGAGGAATTGAGGAACAAAAGCTACAACATACATAAATCAAGTGGCAAAATAGCCAAATATTTCCTTTTCAGTAATTACATTAAATGTAAACAGATTAACTCTTCAATAAAAGGTAGAGCTTGGCAGAATGAATTTTTTTAAAACGTGGTCCACCAATATTCTGTCCACAAGAGATACCCTTTAGAAGCAAAGACTCAAATAGATTGAAAGTGAAAGGATGAAAAAGATATTGCAATAAAACAGTAATCTGGAGTCGCAAAACTGTTACAAGAGACAAAGAATCACATTATGTAATAATAAAAAAAAGTCAATGCCTCAAGAATTTATAACAATTAGAAACATTTATGTGCCTAATAACAGAGCTCCAAAATACATGAAGCAAACAACTGTAGAATTGAAGGGAGAAACACTTCAATAATAACAGTTGGATTTTTCAATACTCTACTTTCAATAATGGACAAAATAACTAGACAGAAGATTAGCAAGGAAATGGATATAATTCAATAGATGAGAGAGGTGTTCTTTACCTAGGTCCTGCTCCATTACATGAGATAAACCCTGGGAACACATAATGCCCTTTCAGTTATCTGCTTTTCCAGCTACTTTTTTATATTGCCATGAAAATAAATTGAAAGATTATTTATTTATGTTTTAATATTAAGTATAATATATAAATATAGACATTTTGGTATAAATTTTTCACATTAAAATTGAGAAAAATGTGAAAATCAATTATTCATCACCAAAAACATTCCTTTAATGCTAACATAGAGCCAACTCAACATTAAGCAATTGATACAAAATTCCCATTAATACTATCCATTAGTTTAAAACTACCAAACCACATTTGTAAATAAAGTATGATTAGATTATGAAGTTATGATTAAAAGTTAAAAGAAAAATTTTTGAACAATAATTTACCTGGTAGCTATATTTCCAAGTATCTTTTCTCCTATAGCATTTTAAATTAAAAAATTAAAATGACTCAAGGGTATTTATTAAAAGCAGCCTTAGCCACATTTTCTTTGAAAAAGTACATTGCAGAAAACTAACATAAGTAAGCAAAAGGAAATAAGATTATTAGTTGCACATTCTATTCTCAGTTAACATGTCTAGCTCTTGGAACCTCAGTTTAAAATGTGTTCTACCTCATTTTTAATCCAATTACCATGGCTACATAAAGAAAAAACTTATTTATAAGGCAAAGAAGAGACATATTTTGCTTCAAGGTTTCTAGTTATGAAAAGAATAACTCCATTTTCATTTATTTCTCCAAGTTAGTTTTAGCTCTACTGTAGCAACTGATTTCACTCTCCAAGCCTATTAAAATTATGTGAGTTTTATGTTTTGGAAAAAAACAGAAAATACCTTTTTCCCCTTATATTTTGTTATCCCCTATTAAAGCCTCACAACCTGTTGATTTAATTTTTAAATTGAATTACTGAAGCCTGTGGGAGAGTTTAAAAGAAGAGAGATCAATAAATATTTGGTTCCAAAAATGCAATAGTTAAAAACCTCTTTCACTATTTTTTCATATTGGTACTCAACCATGAGTAATTATGCACATTTATTCTCCCCACCTCCAATTATTTTCTTTTTTTATATAATCCAAATAAAAGCAATCCTACCCATGACCCATTGCACCGTTAGCTGGTTTCACTATAAAAGTTTTCTGCTTCCGTTTTTTCTTCAATTCTTTCACATAATTTTGGAATTGAGTATATTCAGCAGGGAAGATCCATGTTCGAGGAACAAATGTATAATCCAGAGGCCGAGATTTGATCATTCTGTAAATGAGATATAAAGGGAAAAATAATTTCTATTCAAACTTGCATATATTTTCTTTCTCTGGGATACCGATATTTGCCACAAATGTTTAAATTTTCTCCACTCCTTCATTTACTTCCTCATTGATTCAGTCATTCAACAAGTGTCTATTGGGCACCTACTAAGTGTTAGACACTATTCTGGACCATGGATACATCAGTTAAAAAAAAAAAAAAAAAAAAAAAAAAAAAAAATAAATACAAAAAAAAAAAAAAAAAAAAAAAAAAAAAAAACCTTGCCCTAATATGTACTAATTTACATATTAGCACATCAAACATTTTTTTAGAGTACACACTATGTGCTAGGCATTGGGGATAGTAAGATAAATTAGTATTATCTCTGCCCTCAAGGATTGTATAGATAGGCTATTAATATTAAACAGTGTGATAGGTACACTAAAGGCGTGTAAAGCAAGGTAACATGTAGAAGGAGTCATTAACTCTGCCTCAGGGATGGGGGTAAGGAGTAGGTAATTGCTCAGGCCAGTGCCATTGACATTGCTTCTTTACAAATAATTTTGAGTCTCTAGGTCACACATAGGGAAGATTTTTTGATTACCTTTTATACTACCATGTTTTAGAGTCAGAAAGTTTACTCAATCTCTATGAAGAGAGTCCTCTTTTAAAAAAAATTCTCTCCGTTTATCACTCAACTTTCTTAAACGAAAAAAAGGCAAAAAACCATAGCCAACAGGAATATAAATTGTATAAAGTACTTATTAACAGCTTTCCCATGAAAGTGGATTGTTACTCTAAATATTGACTGCACATATAAATATCTGTGCATGTATATTCCTGGGTGAGCACATATACATGTGTCTTTGAATAAGTGTGTTCATACATGTACCTAGTACAATCCCTGGGGCATATTAAATGCTCAATAACCAATATGAACACACACACACACACACACACACACACACACACACACACACGTGGCATATAATGCAACAAATTAGTTCTTGCAAAATTTAACTGAAAATAAACAAGTATCTCTTAAATGACAGATACAGATAACCTCTTATATTTAAATGAAAAACTCTTACTAAAAAGGCAGCAAGTTGCAGTAAAGAGGCCTGAGATTCTGGAGGCTGATTCTGATCCACCTCTGCTATTAACAGTTTGCTTGAATTTGTGCAAGATATTCATTTCTCTGACCCTCATTTACCTCCTCTGCAAAGTGGAAGACTAGAACCAGAGACCTTCTAAGACTTTTATAGCTCTAAAATTCTATCACTCTCATCTAAATATCATTTCAAATCATGTAACCTTGTGAAAGATAGCACTACAGTATTTACAATATAAATTTTGAACAGGTCTTCTCCATTACAAGAAAATAAAGATTACTTGGTCATATTTCTTGCTAAGAAATCCTTCCTACAGATCTCCCCCATTCCTGGAAAATGGTTGATCCTCTGGAAAATAAAAAGGTAAATATTAATATTCTTAGTGAATTAATGATATTCATGTATATGATAATACAATTATATCCATCCTTTGAGTTTTATATTTTAATAAACTTCCAATTATTAATCTAAAAGATTTAGCATTCAATGACCTACAGTGAATTTGTAGAATTAAGTATGATAATAAGAAAATAAAACTGCAAAATTTTAAAGTAATCTCAAAAGAGTATTTACATAGAGAGTAAAGTTATAATTTTCTAATTTGAACAGTGGTAATTCAATACTGCAATTACTTTGTTATTCTAGATTCCCTGTATTCACAGAAATACGCACTGGTAAAAATGACTTATTTGTTCACTACTATCAATTTTATATTACCTTCTAAACTAATAAATGAAAGTCTATACAAACTGTCAATTCTCTAAAATTCCTCGTATTTGGCTTTTTAGTTTGATGTCTATTTTCTTCTGACTATAAGTTTGTACTATGTTCTAAAAATAAATGAAACCAGATTACACATAGCTGACATCACAAGGTATTTCTGCATCCTGGTCTCCCTATGCAATCTATTCTACATCTTTAAGTGCAATGTAAAGCACCATCTTAGGAAGAGGTTTCCTCTATTGATTCTTCCCTAAAGATAGAAAGAGGTTAACAGTTAAGTTTGAAAAAGATTCAGGCTTAATGCAGATACTCAATACAACTGGATAGCAACTAAACAGGTTATTCAGGTGAGTTAGAACTGGAATTTAATATAGCAACAGATTAAGAATCTATCTAAAAAAATTATACTGGAATCTATAACACATTCCTCATATGAATAATTGGTCATGATTAGTTTCCTACCTGATAATTTTGCAGCTCTGAAATTTTCTCCTGCTGAACAGCAGAATCATACCATATAAGATTACTTGTTTCATCCTCATCTGGAGTTTTCATAAATCCCATTTCATCTATTACTAAACGAACTGCAAGTAAACCATTAAGTTAAAGCAAAATTAAAATACTTCTGAAATATATTCAATGCAGAAACATTTTTCTAGATAAATTTTAGTTCACAGTATTTCATTTGGAAAATATCTATTAGTTACAGCATAACCTTATTTTTAGTTACAACAGTTTTATCTAGGGCCAAATTATACTCAGTAGTAACTGAGAACTGTTTTTCTGTTGCACCCAAAATCCTTCCTTTCGATCTTCTCAGATTTAACAGGTACACAAAACTGCCAAAGGGTTTAGTGATTATTTATGGTACAAGGAAAACATACACAGCTGAGACAATACCGCTACTCAGGAAAATGTACTTTTTGTAGCTTTTTGTGACCTTGGGCTAGGTACAAAAAAACAAAAGTAAAAATATCCCGATCATCAGACCTATCCCATACTTTCCACCTCCCTAGTTCAAATTATTTTTAGTACTTAAAATCAACTCACCTGTGTTTACTTAGAACGTGAAATAATAAAGCAAAATTCACAGGAGAGATTTGGATTTGGTACTTCACTGCTCCCAATCCTCTAATCCTACTGGAAATGTTTATGCTCAGAAGAAGGCTTCCTTTTTAGTACAAACTATTCATGTGTTTCTCTCTGATCTAGAACTTACAATTAATATATTGGCATTTTTCTTCCATTCAATTTCAAGTGTGAAATAAAGATAAGCAGAACACTTAGGATAATTTTTGGCTTCCAACAGAATCCTAAGGCTTAACAGAGTGGTGCAGTCCCAGGTAACAGTGTACAATCACAAGAGTTGGGGAAAGGGACATTCTCTCTGATCTGTCACAGACCACCATGCAGCTTTGGCATCCTGAGGAGTCAGCAGCTGCTGTGCCACCTAGAGCTCATGTAGAGAGCAAGAGCAATAGCAACACAGACTAGAAGACTTCCTTAACTGGCTCACAAACAGAAAACAATGACAAATTCAGAAGAGCATGTCAGGAGCACATCTGTTACTGAGTATATGAAAGACACTGCCTGCAGCATCTCAAAGATACCTGGGAAGACCTTGGTGAGATAAATGGAACTCCTCCTGGCAGTTACGTTTGGAAGTAATGCAATGCGTTACTTAAATTTGGGTATTTATGTATATACAAACCCATGAGGCTGGGAACATTCAGGTTATATTTGAATATTGGAAAAGATCCATTTTTTCCTTACATTAATAAATTCAAATTTGTCAGGTCAGTCATATATAAACCTATTTTATTATGAAATTCAAACCTTGGAGAGCTGACAAAATTAAACTTCAAAGAAAAATAGAATGCCAAGTCCCTTTTTTCAGCTAAGCTGTTTAATCATATTTATGTTTAAACTGAAATTTTAGAAATCAGTTGAAATATTTGTAAGGATATTATCCTCTACCGCGTGAATCCTTCTAACATATTACAAATTTTATAGAAGGCATTTAAAAATCCATTACATAAAAGATAGTTATCTCTCTGGATTTCTACATTGCTTTTAACAATCAGTTTTTCCAGCAATTATGAGAATCCCACGATTGATTCTAAGGAAACCTACCAATTTCAAACTTTGTCCCAGCAACATTTGCTGTAATAGTTCCCTTCTTTTTCTTCTTTCTGACTTTCCTTTTCATTGTGCTTTGATAAGGTAATTCTGTATTCAAATCCAGGGGAGAGGATCCCTGAATAACTTTTTAAAAAAATGTAAAATAATCAGATGGCACTTAAATAACAAAAATATGTACCAGAGAACACAAATACCATGTTCCCCACCCCCTGCCACACACACACACACACACACACACACACACACACACACGGGGAAATTATAAATCCTGGTACTTTAAAAGCCCCTAATTAATTTTAATACTTTTAAAAAATAGCATATTTTTTAACATAAGTCAATTTCCTTACCTCCTTCTTGAGGCAGAGACGGCATTATTGCCTGTGCTGATTAGCAAGCAGTATGTGCTGCTGTACCAAACTCTCAGGAAATCTGGAAATTCCACATTAGTCTAAGTAGGATATGGCCCCAAATCACTGAAAGTTCCTATCATATTATCTTGGTAGAATCCTCAGATTTCAGGATACCAAATTTATGGGATAATACGGTACCTGCAGTGATTTTAAAACAAGGTCATTTAGAAAACAACTTTTTTGAAATTTTTTTCATATATGTGAAGATTATTCTTTTTAAAAATCAAGTAAGGTGAAAGTTAATATGTGACATCAACAAATAATTGTTAATTAGTTTATTAAACATTATCCAAAATGCCAAATAATGGTTTCCTATCCTGAAAGAATGCATAGTGTAGGTGAAGAAGTTTTAAGTCATATGTCATACTTATATGCAATGAATAATATATTATACACAAACAATAACAACAATAACAATATTCACTACCATTTATTGAACACTTACTATCTTAGGCATTTATATTATATCATTTAATCTTTCAACAAATCAGTAAGGTAGAAGTAGAAGCTTTTATCCCCATCTTACAGATAAGTAAGTTGAACTTAGGAAGGACAAATTATTTTGTGTATCTTTACAATGAAAATTTCAACACAGAGATTAAAATGAAGATCCTTCTAACATCAATACCAGAGTCCCTTATTTAGAAACTCATACAACCTTCAACCCAATGCCTGAAATACTGCTTTTAATATGAGACAGTGAAAAATGCCAGGCAGGGTAGAGGTCACATGTTGACAGAATGCAGAGAAATGGTTCCCTTATAAGGAAGTAGGGGGGATGACTTAATAAAGTAAACCACATCTTGAATTGTGCCTTAAAAAATGAGAACAGTTTTGAAGGACAGAAAATGGGTGGGGTCATTATTATGATGATTTCATTGGGCACACAGAGAAATGCAATAATGAATGAACTAATTTGATCTGGCTACATCTCAACATGGCCTATATTACATTTTGCTTATATTTTCATTGTAAATATATGAACACAGGCATTTATGCCTTAATGATACTGTATTGCTCAGTATGTACTATCAACTTTCTCATTTCTCCTTCATATTGTAAGAGTCTTTCAGTTCTTGTAAAATGTCTATAAACACAATGAAAAATTATAAAACCTATTATGATAAGCAAAGGTATAATATCAACAACTTAATCAGATTTTCAAGTTTATCCAGAAACATCCAAACATTCAGTTATCTAAAATGTGACTCCTATACCACCCCAATATTCATTATTAACAATGTTTCATTATTAATTGAAGTTTAGGGTTTTATTTGTTCTCAGGTATCATTTGTACTAAAATGATTCTCCAGTATAATTCAATATTGAAACTAGGGAACTGTTATTTATTACAGACTAACTGTAGGTAGGCATTCTATTAAGCATTTAAAATATTTTATCTCATTAGCAAATTTTGAATTTAGGTATCATTTCTGCCCATTTTCCAGATATAGAAACCAAGGCTAGATAGGTCAAATAAATCAAGGTAACACAGCTTAGAAATAGAAAACCCGGACTCTAAACCCAATTCTAATTATTCTATTCATTAAGATCCACTATTTTCAGACCCCATGCTAACATAATATATAGACATATGAGAAGTTTGCAGCCCTATGGCAGTACATACCGCAAGATATGGCCATATTCTGGGAATTCGCAATACTTTCAATAGTAAATTCATGGTAAAATATCTCTAAACTGATCTCAACTCTCAGTGCCAAGCTGGAAACATACTAGATCACTTCTCAGAAAAGAAAAAAAGAGTAGTAAAACGTTTAATTGAGTTTCTTTCTGGAGGCTCCCTGAAACCTCAAGGAGGTAACTATTCGAGTTTACAAGTTTTTTGTCCAACATCTTGTTACTGGAGTAAACAAAGCTCCCCTTTACAGTAACAGAATGCTTATTCCATTAAAAGTAGGTGACAAAAGTCAACAAGACTTTGAAAACAATGTTTGCCTAACTACACTAGGTTCTAAAAACAAATTTGTTAACTTTTGACTTAAATAATAAGCCAAATGACTGACTGTACAAAGTTGAAAACAAGAACTTTCATCCCTTCCCCAAGGCATATGGGAATATAAAGTTCTTAAAATTATACTATCCGTATGTGCACTTTACTTAATTCCATTTATGCTTTAGTCAAACTGCTTTAACAAACTCAAGGACTTCATTCTACCATGGCAATTCTAATTAGCTTTATTCTAAGCAAGAGATTTGAAATGACAGATTTATCCCACTACTCAGCTGAAACCATAGTTACCTGCTTTCCCAAAGCAGAAAACATGTTTCAGTTACCTCTGAAATACTTTAAGCCAATGGCTTCTCTACCTTGGCTGCAAAGCAGAATTACCTGAATGAGGAGCTTTTAAAAATCCTGCTGCCCAGGCCATACCCCAGAACCAAGTGGGGCCCAACCATTAGCATTTTTAAAACTCTCCACGTGATTCCAGGGCAGCCAAAGTTGAGAACCTCTAATGTAAGCACACAACGACATTGAAACAAGTAACAGCTAAATACAACAACACATGAAATTATAAGAGAAAAAGTAAAAGAAAACTCATAACTTTTTTTAAAAAGCCAAATGGGTAAAAATTATCTACAAAAATTATGTTTTCCTGTCTAGTTCAAAAAAAAAAACAAACTGAGAAAATGAATTTGAAGGTGAGCACAAAATGATTAAGACAAAGAAACAGAATTTATTTACAAAAGGAATTAATTTTCCAAAATTTCAAGCAAATGTTAACCTTAAACATAGAACTGCCAAGCACCAATAGATACACAAAATAGATACAAAACCAAAATAATTCCAGTGTATTTGTGCTAGAGTACCCTTTTGTCCCTATTCTTCTGTTGAGCTTCTACCACACTTAAAATCCACATAAAATACCACTTTTTCCAGAACGCTCTCTGATTATATCTGAAGAAGTCATTTCTCCCTCTTCTGGTCTGAGACCTTATTTGTACCCCTATCATAATCACCTGCCAAGAAGATGGTTTTTCTCCTATCTTGTTCACTCCTCCATTCCCAAGTCCTAGAATAGTGCCTGACCATAGTGTTCAATAAGCACTTATTAATGAGCGCTATAGTTTGAATATTTGCGTCCCTCCAAAATTCATGTTGAAACATAGTCCCCAATGAGATAGTATGATGACTTAGGACCTTTAGAAGGTGATTGGATCCTGAGGGCTTCTTCCTCATGAATGAGACGGACTTTATAATCAAGGCTTCACATAGCATTCAACCTTTCCATCCCTTCCGCCGTGTGAGAACACAGCATGCATCTCTTCCAGAAGGTGCAGCAACAAAGTACCATCTCAGAAGCAGAAACAGCAGCCCTCAATGACAATGAACCTGCCAGCACCTTGATCTGGACTTCCCAGCCTTCATAAATGTGAGAAATAAATTTCTATTACTTATAAGTTGTTCAATTTGTGGCATTTTGTTAAAGCAGCACACACAGGCTAAGAAAGTGAGTTAATAAATCAGTTAATTGGCCGGGCACCATGGCTCATGCCTATAAAAAATCCCAATACTTTGGGAGGCCAAGGCGAGAGGATCACTTAAGACCAGGAGTTTGAGTCCAGCCTGGGCAACATCTCTACAAACATTAAAAACTTAGCCAGGCATGGTGGTGCCTACCTGTAGTCCCACATACCTAGGTGGCTAAGAAGGAACAATAGCTTGAGCTAGAGAGGTCAAAGCTGCAGTAAGCTGTGTTCATGTCACTGCACTATAGCCTGGGCAACGGAGCAAGATTCTGTCTTAAAAAAGAAATGCATTTATTTATTTATTTATATTATTTTTTAGTTTTAGATTTTAGAGACAATCATAGCTCATTATCATCTTGAACTCTTGGGGTCTATAATCCTCCTGCTGGGACTACAGCTGTAAACAACCACAACTGGCCTTTAGCATTATTATTATTATTATTATTATTATTATTATTATTACAGAGATGAAGTCTCACTATGTTTACCAGGCTGGTCTTGAACTCCTGAGCTCAAGTTATCCTTTCCCCTCAGCCTCCCAAAAAGCTGGGATTACAGGCGTGAGCCACCATGCCTAGCACACATTTTTAAGAAGAGAAAGCAAAGTACATAGAAGTTTACATTTTACACTGCCACTTGGGCAAACCAACAGAGGAATATATGGAACATATGCATTGAGTAGGTGTGGCCTGCTGTGGCTAGGGGTAGGGCTAAGAGAAACTTACTTGTATATACACCTTTAGTACTCTGTGTATGTATTACCTATTCAAAAAAGTAAAATATATGTGATAAAATTTTGTTATCAACATTACTATGTTGATAACCAAATCATCAAACTTTGACATTTAGGTGAAAATATTTTTATTTCATTTAAATGAAAGTATAATATGGTAGAAAAAGCACTGAACAAGGAGTCAAATCAAATTCCTATCCTTTACTTTTCCACTTAACAGATATAAATTCTTAGGCTGCAAAAGTCAACGATTTATGCTTTCCAGCTTTAATGTCTAAAATGGCAACCAATTAAGATAACATTGCTGTTACTTTTTATGGCAAAAGGTAAAGACAAAACTTCTTTCATGTAAAAGAAGGAAACACAAAGGAAACTCAGACCTTCACCAGCAACCCCAAAATCCACACCCCAGTAAACATATGAACTCTCTGTACATCAATTTTTAGCTCACCCAAAGATGGCTAAAAATAATCAAATAAAAAGTCAAGAGGATCAAAAAATAGGATTAAGTTAAAAATATGAAAAATAACATTAAATAAAAACATAATAAGAGCTGTTTTGTGGCGACAAGAGGAAGGAGAAAAGAACCAGTATAAACCAGTACCTACTTCTACATAACTTATTTAGTCCACCCACAAATGCCCAGTACCTTTTATTTCAATTTTATATATGGGGAAATGCAGGTTCCAAGGTTAAGAAACTTGCACAAGGTCACACATCTAATAGGATGAAGTGGTTTGTCTCTTCTATTAAAAGGAGTATGGGAAGGAAGCCCATATTCCTTCCCACTTTTGTGCTACCTTCAAAATTCAGCCTTTAAATATAACATATTGAAGATTTCACAAAGATGCTTGATTTTGTTTGATTGGATCTACTTTAAAACCTGGGGCCCAAGGCAGTGAGAAGACAGCCCTCT